AAAGAAATTTAATAAAGAATGAATGTGAGCTGGCATTCCTCCATTTGTCCGGTGGATATTCTTGGGTTTCTTACAAATCATATCATTTCATGGAGGCAATCCAACAATTCTGAAATGTTCTAAATTGCTATTATACTGAAGTGAAGCAAATGTAATTTTAAGAAAATGAATATACCAGGTGGTTGTGCTCCGTTAAAAAAATAGTGACCATCGTGTGACCTGGGTCGGAGAGGATATCTTACCAATACTCTGTGACACGTGACATCATTTACATCATTGACTGCCCATTTGTATTTTGTAAGGCTTCAAGATATTGTGTTGCTCTAGTGTTATACTCTTATTTTTGTGCCTTGAAAATCTTTATCGTGTGCAGAGAACCTATTTATAAGGTAATGTAAAGAAAGAACTATCAAGATAGATGTGACAATTTGATTAAATATGCTTTCGATGTAGAGTGAAGTTCCAACTTGCCTGGAATAAAAAGCTTACTTATTTAGTCATTAGTAAACAAAATTTGTACATACATTATATATGTAGCTATGTCTGTGCCATTTGTAAAGATTAATTCATCTCTTATCACTAAGACAAAAGCTCATCAATTAATTATATCACATACATATTAGGAATAGTATTTTTTAAAAATAAGAAGTTATAATGATATTGGTTCACACTTCACTTTTGGGGGTTTATGTAGAATAACAATGAAATGTCATTTGTGAAATTCATCATTGTGATGTAATCACAGATTAATCTTAAATGGAACATTCTATTTATTGAGGATTTCTAATAATTAATTTGCTGTTCATGCGGTATGAGACATGCACATTTCTATTTGCCGAGTTTGAAACATTCAGATAAAATTGTAAACACTTTCAACTGCTATTTTATTAAATTCAACTATTTTGTGGGGTGAATTTAATAAAAATTGTACTTTCAAGAGGAAGTTATTAAAGTAGTGTTGATAGTCAGTTGCTGTGAAAAACAAATTAAACAGCAAAATTTAACCAGTGTTGGCAATAGAAGGGTGAAACTCTATCTCCTTCATCTGTTAAGCATGAGATGGTCTATAATCAAAGGACAATGCCATGACTAGAATTCAAAATAATTTCATGTAGTTTAGAGTTAGGCTCGTTAGCAGTAGATCTGTGTCTTTGTGAACTCCTGGTATTGTCAATAACTCTGCTACAACTTTAGAATTTATCTTTTAACATTTTCTAACAGGTTAACCAAAACACAGACAGCATTCCTTTGTAAACCTATAGAATGTGACTGTGCAGTAACAGAGTGTAACTAATAATTATGTACAGCAGGCATATCTTTGAACATATTGACAGATATTTCCTTTCAGAAGTTCTAAGAGTACTTGTATAAAGTAAATGAAGGATCTCATCATAGTTGATATGTGTGTAATAAACGTGTGATGCTTGCAAGATACATTGATGACACAAAATGTATGGAAAAAACTAAGTTCAATGTGCAAATAAAGAAATGAATGTAAATGCTAATCATTGTGTCCTTGAGTATGTTCTTTAACTGTTATTTTCCATGTTCTGTTGAATTGGTCTAAATATGGCTCACTTTTTGTTCCATCTTTGTGATTTGTATTGGCTAGTAATAGAGAACAACTTAATTGTCATAAAATGAGATCTGGGTGGAGACAACTAAACTAACAACCAAACTATTTTTGCATAATAAAAAATCATAACTATAAAGACTTTTTAATAAAATTACACACTGATAAAGATGATAGTGCTTATCAAAACAATTTGTTTATTGCTATTTCAGAAATTTTCCATCCCCAAATAACTTTCAGATAGAAATGGAAATACTAATGTCATGTGATGAAACTGGCAGGGTTATAATCCATCGGAGCATAGGCGCCGGAAGTGGGGGGGCAGGGGGGGCAGTTGCCCCCCCAATCAAAAAAGTGGGGGGGCAAAACGCATTTTTGCCCCCCCAAAACGCCCCCCCCCTCAAAAAAAAAAAAAAAAAGCAGTAAAGGAGTAAACATGGTTTCTATTTTTAACCCCCAAGAACATAACAATAATAAAAACCTGAATTAAATCACAAGTCATATACAATTCCATTCAAAGAAAAGGAAAGTTCACAGGAATTAAAATTTCATAAACATTGCGCATGCCACCTATACGGTATTTATCAATGGAGGTCTTTATAATAGCGATACGCGCATATCGTGGACATATTGTGCGAGAATGGGAAAGCGTGTCTGTTTTTTGTTGTTATAGGGGTGAGAAGACATGAGCCCCTGAACGCTGGCGTACTGATGGGGGGGGGGGTGTATTTCTTATTCGATACGGGTGATTTACAAATGTTGCTGTTATGACATGATTTTCCGGTATTTTTCTCCATTTTTTGGTAAGTCATACCTTTTTATGCGTTGTTGGAAAATAAGAAATTCCCAAATTACAGTCGGGCGAAAAATACGCTTATTTAGAAGCCTTTATGTCATGGTCTGCAAAGTGGCTGGGCTCGAGCCCCCCCTCCCTCACTTTTTGAAAAAAGTATGTTAAAGAGAAAAAGAAAGAAAGACGGAGAGAAAAATTAAGTGACCTGCCAATGTCACAAATAAGGTATAAAAAATGCTCATCTGACCGTAATTAAATGCCTAAAAAACCCGGCTTTCAGGGGTTATGCCCCCTGGACCCCACCAAGGACCCTAAGGCGGGCCCCTGGATGCTCATCTGACCTTAATTAAATACCTAAAAAACCCGGCTTCCGGGGGTTATGCCCCCTGGACCCCATCAAGGGCCCTAAGGCGGGCCCCTGGATGCTCATTTGACCGTAATTAAATACCTAAAACCCCTGAGCTTCCGGGGGCTCTGCCCCATGGACCCCACCAAGGGCCCTAAGGCGGGCCCCTGGATGCTCATTTGACCGTAATTAAATACCTAAAACCCCTGAGCTTCCGGGGGCTCTGCCCCCTGGACCCCACCAAGGGCCCTAAGATGCCCCCTGGATGATCCTTTGACCGTAATTAAATACCTAAAACCCCTGAGCTTCCGGGGGCTCTGCCCCCTGGACCCCACCAAGGGCCCTAAGGCTGGCCCCTGGATTATCATCTGACCGTAGTTAAATACCTAAAACCCCTGAACTTCAGGGGGCTCTGTCCTCCGGACCCCACCAAGGGCCCTAAGGCGGCCCCTGGATGCTCATCTGACCGTAGTTAAATATTAAAACCTCTGAGCTTCTGGGGGCTCTCCCCCTCCTTGGAACACGTCAATGGCCTAAAAGAGGGCCCCTGGATGCTCATCTAACCGTAAGGAAATACCTAAAACCCCTGAGCTTCCGGGGGCTCAGCCCCTTGACCCCCTACCGAGGCTCATGCCCTGGATCCCACGCCAATTTACGCTCTACCTGATCGTTAATACTCCACTTTGAAAAACGTTCCGCGGGACCTGCATGTAACGTGTAAGACTGATGGTGATGCAGATTTTTTTTGTCTGCTCCCCCCCCCCCCCTTCCGCACGTTTTTTCTCATTACGTCACTGCCCCTGGAAGGTGAGCCCCCTGGAACGTTTGCCCCCCCAATCCCAAACTGCTTCCGGCGCGCCTGCATCGGAGCATCTATTTGCAGATGTGTTTCACCGAGTGGAAAAATGCAATGGTCAACAAGATATATCTCTTTACCTTTTGAAAAATGTGAGCTATGAAAGCCATTCATAAAGTATTAAAGTAATGCAAATTCTGGTAACAAATTTAATTTGCTAAAAGGGAAATATATACAAACATTATTTGTGTATCAGGTGGGAATGGAATAAACAATATTCAATAAATTTCTGGAACTTATCCCAGATTTGTATTGTACAGGAATAAACTATGATGACATCAATTTTTATTCATGGACAATTCCACACTATTATACCAGGAAATTAATAGGATTATACCATTCCAACTACCTGTATACAAAATTCTCTGTATTTGATGATAAACAATCATCTGTCAGTTGCTTATAAATTCTGAATATTAAGATATCAAAAATTAAATAACTAAAATGGTTGACAGTGGAAACTATCATTTTTGTGTTTGTGGGTGTGTGTGCACATTTTGTCTAAAAAATGTACATATGCTATTATATTTATGCTTCCATTTTGTTAAGATGAATTCTAATGAAAACCTTAAGGGTGAATTGTTCATCCAAATGGTATGTTTTTTGTTTTCTTTCTTTTTAAGGGGGGGGGGGGTCCAGTATTTTGGGAAGGGGAAAACTGCTTGCGTGCAGGTAATACAAATCTATTCGAAGTGAATTTACTTGAAAAAAGCAGCTAATTCAAAATCATTTGTGGGATAAAGAGAACTATAAATGAATTTTGATTTATTTCATACATGATCAATCAATAAAGAAGAAAGAAATATTTGTATGTGCCACATTTATATAAGTATTTACAGCAAGGAAACAATTAAAACTATAATAATAACAAGGCCTATTATTTTTTATTCCAAGTTTAATTGGGGCTGCTCATCATCATCCAGCTTGAAAATGAAGTCAATACATTCATCGATCAGAAACCAGACTATTTCTGGTGACTCATTACAATTAGGCTCTGTTTACCTGCTGTATTATATGCCTCGTTCTTATGACTAATATGCACGCAATATGAAATCCAGCGAGAGACGACCTACACTCACTCATGCTTTTTTCTAAAGAAGACGAATACGATAATTAAGGCTTGCTGCAATTTGCCTTTTCTCAACAAAATAATAAATGTGACCTTTAAAGATTGAACATAGGGTTGACCGGGGCTGTAATGACTCAGGTTTATAACTTTCTCACGCCTGAGTCACAATCTAAATCCTGCATTAGTCAGTATCTGTACCTTCAGGTTTGTGGCACTGAAGATGTGTCATCGAGCCGTTCTCATTTTTACTTTACCAGGCCATGCGAATGGTGGTGTTCATTTTCCTTTCGGTGGATTTTGGAGGAAAACAATTTTGTAACGCTGTATTTTTTTGCGAATTCATGAAACCGAATATCTACCAGTCTACCACCAAATCTGCGCTTGATAGTTGAACTGTGTTTTTATTACATTCATTACCATAAGGCAATATGCACGCTACGCTGTGTGTCGCCTCGATCCACTGACCGTCACTAAGTGGCGCCAATACTGCAAATGCATCCATTTTTATTGGCAGACTTGGTCTTGCATCATCGGAGTGAAAAAACAGGGGGATACGTTGTAACCTCCAGATGGGGAGGAATTATCGTCATAGGACACTCATCTCGTAATATTTTGTCTTCGAACGTACCATTTTGTATTTTCATAATACCTTTTTCAAGACCATGTGTATGGTCTGCACAATAAACGGGGAAAGTAAACACAGGATATCAACGTCGTATAATAACACACGCCAGAAATTTCCAGCGCGATCGAGCGATCTAAGTGCGCATGCGCAAGGCAGATAAAATCAACTTTTCGCAATGGCGGGCATCCGTGATGAAACGAGGAAGCTCTTCCCCGTCGACAATGTTAGGGCTATCTTAAAGATATTTCGCTCAGAATTGGAAGGAGATCATGAACCCAATCTGACGGTTCTTTCGGTTGTTGTAGGAATGGTGGAGAACATTTTAACGAGCAATCGTGCTTCGTCCCAGGGTCAAGCTGCTGATGAGAACCGCATGTGCATTGAACCCATCTTTCCAGTCATTGAGCTACCGAACGTGGAGGCGTTGTGCGCCAAATTCGAGGCTCAAGTGAAAGGGTCTGTCGACTTGAGCGACTACAAGTCAGAATTTGCAACCAGAGAAATGGTTAAAAAGGTGTCTGATATTATCTGGAGTTCACTCTCACGAGCATACTACAAAGACAAGGCTCACTTGCAATCTCTTTTCAGTTATCTGACTGGTAAGAAAAGACAAAAATTATCATGAGGTAGTTTTTCATTTTGGAGAAAATATGAGTTGCACGTGATTGACCGAGGTGGGCGGGGCCAGAGATAGAGTCCACATGCGTACCAACATAACAACTTTGGCTCAACATGACTAAATCTAAGTTAGATCAAAGAGATAGCTGGTATCTCTTTGGGGTCTTTGGTTAGATTCACAATCAATTTTTCAAATTTCACTTATGTCCTGGGATATATATGAAGTCTCAAGATGTTAAAATTAGATGTGTTTCTGAATTTAGGCAATCCAACCCTTGTAACTCTTAAATTGATTTTTATGAAAGAAAAATATCAAACGGAATGGCAATTTTTTTAATGAATCGGACCACTTAGCTTAAGTAAAGAGACCACTAAGTCTATGCGAATCTCAAATTGGCAGTTTGGTCAGTGGATTGTGACGTTGTGTAGGACATGGATAACTCCCATTTGTCGTGTACAAAAATATAACAAATTTTTGTTTTTCTCGTAAGTTCCTTCTTTCTTGGGGCACTACTCAAAATATATTATAGATAGCATATTATTATAGGTCCTTTTAAAAGAAATGACCTTCCTGAGCCATGATTTTGTTGAAAATTTTAATCATTTTGTATGTTGGACCAGATGGGGAAAGTAGTCCGACACTACATCACATGACAGTACTGCTTTACACAATTTAAAGTGCCCGTACGTGTAGTGATTTCAATTTTCAAAATTCATTACTTTCTTATATTTAATTGAAACTTCATCAGGCTCTCTAATTTTTCTGCTTTCTTTTAGAGTAGTTGTCCATTTGGGTTGGATTTCCCTTTAAGGGTTAATCTTGACTATAGTCTGTACCTGAGTAATCATGCCGGCTTTAACTTTAGTTCTAAGCCTTTATCAACACCACCATTAGTACCATCATTCAATTTATTTAGGAATTTTTTATCGGTTTTGAATTTGGTCTTGGGACTCCTGGTTTTCTATGATTTCTGAATTATAAGAAGATTCCATATTTTATCAACTTTAATATTTAGCTTCAGACTGCAATGGTATCAAGATAATTCTATAATACCGGTAGTCTCAATAGATTTTTAGTTTTTTTATTTTTACTTCAGTCATGCTGATTTATTATGGAGTTAATAAATCTAGACTAGATCTAGCAGTATTGGTAATCGATTACAATTTATAGTATTCCCCCACACATTAGCAAAAATTTTGTTAATGCATTGCATCGATCTAACAAGTACAACAATCAACATTGGAAGTTTTATTTTTTACATTAAAAAAGATGGGTCTATACATGTACATGTTTTCCTGTCCTGAAAATGCTTTAAATTGTTTTGTTTTGTTGCAGGGGGAGGGTTTTATTAAATAATGTATTGAAAACTATTGAGTCTATGGGAAAAGAAAAACAGTTGTACCAGAATGAAAAAAAAATCCATTCCCGTTATCATTTTGTGCAAATTATTACTTATTACTTATAACTGCCCTAAAGTCCCACTGCACTACTTATACCTACGGTACTCGCACCCTCTATAGCAAACAATGCCTAATCGGTGACCATTGGTCCCCCATGATAACCTTTTTCTTATGTTAATTGAGAGCTTATTTGATGAGATAACCACCTGTCAGTGACCATGCAGGGAGGTCTAATCCCTCCTGGCCAAACTAGTGCAGATAGGCATTAAGGTCTCTTCTGCACATGAAGTTGAATTTAGTAAGATTATTTCATATCAAGTCATAATATGGACATTGTTATTGTAGTCATTTGTTATGTATCAAGGACGGAGCTTGTGCAAAGAGTTTCTTGTAAGACAATCTGTTGCTTTCTCTCGCACTAAAAAATTGTCTTTTTGAGTTTTATCTACCCATTTTCTTTAATTCCTTTCCCCTGCTAGGAAACCAACTGGATTGTTTTGGTGTTGCGTTAGCTGTGGTTGCAGCCTGTCAGATCCTGAACTTCAAGGATGTACACCTAGCCCTGTCTGAAGACCATGCCTGGGTTGTGTTTGGAGAGAATGGAGAGGGGACTGCTGAGGTCACCTGGCATGGAAAAGGGAATGAGGACAAGAGGGGGCAGCCTGTCAGTATGGGTAAGACAAGATAGAAGTTTTGATAAGATGTCAGCACAAAGCACTCAACTCTCTATCCGCCCTAGATTAAGTGATTTCATGTTTGACTTCGGTGTTAAGTGTTGGTGTTTATTTTGTTGTGAAATCATGATTTGAACGTGAAATGAGAAAAAGTCGGTCAGTGTTTAGGTGTTGACTTCTGATTTCTCTGTAGTTTCTGGTGGTGGTGTTCATTTAAATCAGATTTGAGCTAAACAGAGATCAGCAGTCAGATATTCCTGTTGACTAATACTAAAGAAAAGAAGTATCTATTTCATGGTCTGTGTTGGTGTCCATATTACTAGCTTTAGGATATATTTTTGTCGGTAAGAGCCTTCCAAACAATCAAAAGGGTTTAGTTTTTACTTCAGATAAATTTGATAAATCCCAATCGTCTTAATGAGGCCTGAGTCATAACGTTTTTTGCTAAATGTTTTACTGTTAACTTTATACGGGTGGTTTTGTTTAACCATTATGAAAATACATGTATTTGCACACATAGCAGCATTACTATCCTGGCTGTGTATTAAGGTGGGTAACACTGTACTGCAGTACATTCACGCAACATTTTGTTAAACCTGATCAAATATATTAACAACTCAATACTGATGACAAATAACAAACAAATAAAATATGTGGGGTCGCGTAAAACGCATTTAGAGTCCTTAGTTTTTATCTTTGAACTCCCAAATTCGTTACAGAATATATTGTTTCAAGTTATCCAACGAATGTAAATAATGTCAATCTGACTTAAATTTATTTCCATGTTTTGGGATTGTTCATTTTTTACTTGTGCAGCAGTAATACGTGGCTAAGGCCATCGAGGCCCCATTTTACTATTGACTTTTTCAATGGAAAAAAAAAAAGAATAAAAGATTTTTATTTTTATGATGGTGGCAAACAATTAAGCTCAGGTCTGTAGAGTACTAAAAGAGCTTTGGTTAAAAAATAAAACTATACAAACAAACAAATACACTACAAAATAAACAAATAAACCGATACAAAACACAAGAAAATACATGACAATCATTCGGAAGAATTGGTAGCTTCACTAGAGCATGGTATTGAAATATTCAATATTTATATTGTTCAAGGGCAATTAAACTAGTGCTCTCATGCAATGGTAGAGCTCACAAGTCATAACAAGCTGAAATGTGTGTGATTTGTATGCAGCTCATGAGGTTGACTCATAGGCCTGTTTTACAGTGCTAACCCCACTTGGCCCAGCAATTACATGGTTAGGAAGTACATAATTATAATGTAAAATTGTTAATTACTGAGAATAATTGTTTTTAATGATTCCTCATGAATTGTAATATGCCATTAAACATTAAACGGAAATCAACCAGGGGTTATATCCTTAGTTCATTTAATATTTAGCAAGGTACAGGTTAACTGTATAGCTTTTGAAAATGAATGTTTAAAGTCATTCTAAAAGTTGATAGTAATGATTTGTGATTTCTTAAAAATTTGTCTCTAGTATTTTGGTCATAATCAAGGATTATTTATTTATTCCACATTCAATATTATTGAGTATGAACACTAAATTTCTGAAACAATTATTTTTAAAAAATTGTAGGAACTTTGTTTCCTTGTTTAATGCCATTGCTACCTTCTAGGCATTTCAACTTAATTTCGAGCCTTTCAATATATTAAATTGTATTTTTATTAGAACATGGTCGTTAAATCCTTCTTGTGAATGGGAGCCACGCGTATGTCTTGCTCGTTTAATAGGCAGTCCACTTATATCAGCTATTAACAAATTACATGTTTCATGGTTTGCAATTATCACAGACATGTGATCAAGTAATTGTGGATGTACTACCTATTATATTTCCAATCAATTTGCAAGGATGTGTCATTTTGCATACATTGTTTATTTAGATTATAATGGCTGCTACTACATGTACCGGTATAGTGTTCATTTAACCTATACAGAACTAGATAGGATGATTGCTTTGCTCTCTCTTTTCATCCTTATCAGTATACCTTATTTGTATGGTTGTGATGAGAGTGCCTGCCTCCTCCGCACTCCACCCCCACAGCTCAATTCAATGGTGCTTGAGGAGTCCAGAGGCTACGCCCACATACAAAATCATCTTTTATGCAGAAGACAGCATTGTATTCAGCATGGCGTGTTCTGTTTCTTGCTCTGGAATTACTTACACATTGATATTTCACATCATCCCTTGTATGGATTGTCTGGATTATTTGCCTTCTTGATATGAACACCAACAAAAATTACTTTCATTCTGTAGGGGAAATGTCAGCACCTAGCCCTAGAGATGTTCCTTTCTGATCTTTCTTTGAAGTATACTCCAATTATCACACTGAACTGAATTGAATTTATTTCCACATTTACATTAAAAATACAGAAGTTGCTACAGTATATATACAAAAGTAAAAGTATAAAAAGTAGACAAACATCAAATACATGCATTAAGAAGATAAAAGGACAAATTCACACGACTTGAAAACATACAATGTAAATGTGGTGGGATAACATTGTTAAGAATTGACCGGAGAGTATGTGGGAGTCACATCAATTTATTTTCATTCTCAAATTATGCAAAATTCAAGGAGCTTTCCTTAACTTAAATTAAATTGTATTTTTTTCTGGCACCCTAATGTGTGGGGTGAACACTATTGATTGTCAAGTCTAACTGTCAGGGTCTATCTATTCCTTATACCATCCAGATAATATGTCATAACTACAGGTATCATCCTACCAGCAATAAATTCAAGTGTCCAAACATTGAATATCAGAATATGATAATTACTTTGATCAAACACTTGACACCCAATAATAAGAATTGCACAGGGTTAAGGTTATCATTTCAAACTACATGTATAAACCTGAAAAAGGTCCCCCCCCCCCCTCTTTTTTTTTTCTTCTTCTTCCTTAGCTCGCATGGACTCTTTATTGATTTGCAGATGTAAAAGTATTTTTTATGTCGTTTTTGTTTATGAATTTTTAAATCTTGTATAACTTTTTTACATCAATTTTTTAAAATTTATTTATTTCTTGCTGGAGCTCTCTTTTTATGCCTCCGCCACCGAAGGTGGTGCCGGAGGCATCATGTTTTCGGGTTGTCCGTCCGTACGTCCGTCCGTACGTCCCGTTTGACCGTTATCACAATATCTCAAGAACCATTTAAGATTTAAACTTAAGACTCGGGAATAGTATTTATCACCATAGGAAGACGATCTGATTAGATTTTGGAGTACGTAGGTCAAAGGTCACAGGTCACAGAGGTCAACTTATGAAATTCCTTGTATTGAGTTTGTTAGCGCGATATCTCAAGAACCATTTGAGATTTAAACTTAAAACTTAAGGATAGTATGTATCACCATAGGAAGACGATCTGATTAGATTTTGGAGCACGTATGTCAAAGGTCAAGGGTCACAGAGGTCAACTTATGAAATTCCATACATTGAGATTGTTATCATATCTCAAGAACCACTGGAGATTTAAACTTCAAACTTAGTGATAGTGTGTATCACTATAGGAAAACAATCTGATTACATTTTGGAGCACGTAGGTCAAAGGTCAAAGGTCACAGGGCTCATTATGTATGCAAAAACAGCTTGTGATCGCGTTATCTGAACAACCGATTGATGGATTCCTGCCAAACTTTGGTCATGTATGTATCTTGCAGAGCTGATGAACTGAATAGATTTTGGGGTCACGAGGTCAAAGGTCACAGGGCTCATTATGTATGCAAAAACAGCTTGTGATCGCGTTATCTGAAGAACCGATTGATGGATTCCTGCCAAACTTTGGTCATGTATGTATCTTGCAAAGCCAATGAACTGATTAGATTTTGGGGTGACGAGGTCAAAGGTCACAGCGCACATTATGTATGCAAAAACAGCTCGTGATCGCGTTATCTGAACAACCGATTGATGGATTCCTGCCAAACTTTGGTCATGTATGTTACTTGCAGAGCTGATGAACTGATTAAATTTTGGGGTCATGAGGTAAAGGTCAAGGTCATGCGGCTCATTATGTATGCAAAAATAGCTTGTGATTGTATTATCATTAGAACAGATTGATGGATTCCTGCCAAACTTAGATCATTTATGTATCTTGCAGAGCCAATGAATGGTTCATAAGATCAAAGGTCATGGGCTCATTATGTATGCAAAAATAGCTTGTGGACGCATTCTCATTAGAACTGACAGATGGATTACTATTTAACTCAGGAAATCTTGCAGAGCCAATGAACTGAGTAGATTTTAGGGTCATGAGGTCAAAGATCAAAGGGTCATATATGTTTATGAGAAATTGCTTGTAATCACGATATTCTGAGAACATGTTAATGGATTACAATTGAACTTGAATTTGAAAAATTTCTTCCGTTTTGGTTTGTAAAATTGCTCTATGACGGAGGCATCATTTTCGACTGCGCGCAGTCGAATTCCATCTAGTTACAAATGTTTTTTCTTCCCAGAGATATATATTGATTTTCATTGTCGAAAATGATTTTTTTTTTTTTTTTTTTATTTATTTTTTTAAATTTTTTTAAATTTTTTTTTTTTATTTTTATTTTTTTTTTTTTTTTATAATAATTTTTTTTAATTGTTTTTATGAATTATTTGCAGGAATCACAGAGAAGAGTTGGTTGTATCTGAATGGTTTCCCTGTAGTGTGCACAAGACACATGGAGATAGCAGCCTTGGTGTCAGCTATCAACCCTACTATCAGTTCATCGTTAGACAGCATAGAACTTGCTTCTTTACAACAGGTGGGTATATTATTTATATACAGTATTCCCCTTCCACCTTTTCACACATTGGTGTTATTGCTAATAAGATGCAAGAATACAAAAGGGATTTTAATATATTTGGTAATTTGATAACTTTTGTAATATAATGATCATTTGATGATTTAAAGGTATTCTATGGCATTAGGCAAAGTAAAGAATTGGTGGGGGGGGGGGGCTGTTTCTTTGTATATAGGATTTGCTACTTCAGCTTACCATAAATAGCACTTTCAGGTATTTGAAAGTGAGAGTGAAAGCTGTGCTGCTTCTAAGGTTTTGCAAACAGGAACACCGCCCTGATCACTATTCTACTCTATTTATAGGTTTGAAAAGAAGGTTGAGTTCCGGTAAAAGTGAAAATGTATTTGTGAGCTTTATTGGTCTCTTTATTACTACCGGTAAGCGGAAAGAAATCATAGTAGGAAAATTCCAACAGGGTTTTCCCTGAAAGGCTCTCATATTTGTGAAAAGAAATGATTAAGATTTCTGATGCCACATTTTCATACCCCTACCTGTATACAGTCTCTTTCATTGTTCATGTTTGTTTTGTTTTGTTTTTTTGATAAATATATTTTACATATTTTAATAATTTTGATGAATTCTAGACATCAAATATACATTTGGTAATGGATGATGCCTTTGAGTTGGAGTTTGAATATCATAACTTGAGTACAGTTTTATGATCAAGATTAATAGTTATCTACATTGTATACTGTAGGCGTATCTAGCGCTAGAACTCATCCGTCCCATTTTATATCGGTTACATGTAGCTTTAGACCAGAATGTCAGCACTAATAGTAGGGACACTGATTTTCCGTTTTAAAAAATGGCTTTTTCCATTTCAGAAAATCTGGAATTCCGTGAATTCTGTTTCGCCAATGATAACCACTCAAAAACAATATGGATGGGACTGGATAAACTTGATGCAAAATACCAGTGAAAATATACGAAAAATTATCAAATGTTTAGATTTACCAACTTCAAATTCGTACTTAGACAAGCAGACTAAAGTTAGCGGAATGTGTCAGAACACTACATATTCCTGACGGAACGATACAGATACAGGCTGACTAGTACCAACGTGGATGAAAACATTTCAGTCTTGGCTGTCATGTCAGCGATCGGTCGATTTTAGGCGCACATGCCAGCCCCTTTTTCGAACTGTACAACAGCGTGTGTACAATCTCGCCGCACTTAGTGCCCGCTGCTGGCGTGTGTGTTCCTAGTATTACGTCTACATAGCTGGCATAATAGGATCGATTCGCTGCTATTTGTACTGTGTTTTGTGTCACAATCTCATGTGTCCAGCGAAACAAAATGGCAGCCCCTGTCTCCTAAGAATCTGACGAATATCACTAAATATTCAGAGTTATTAACCATGATTTTAGGCCCAATATCTTTTCACTGCATAACAAATCACACAAATAGTGTAAGTTTTACAATTTTCTTCTTAAAAAATGAAATGTTTTTAGGTGAAAAGGGTTTTCCCCGACTTTCTGTTCGAAATTGCATTTTCCGTTTCAAATGGTCATTTCCGTGAATTCTGTCCGTTTTCTGTGATCACAGAAAATCAGTGTCCCTACTTAATAGGAATAAACACAGGCTCATCCTTCACAAAACATGGCAAATGGTTTAATGTGTTTACTCTTACATGTAGATAGTGAAGATTGCAGTAGCCCCTGCTTTGTCTTGTATATGTGTGTCTTTTAGTTTCCTCTGATGCTATTTATGACATGTCAGTGGGTAGTATGTAGGAATTTAAGTGGCAAGAGATTGCATGATAGTCTAGGACAAATACTTCAAACAAACAACAACAACAAAATGTGTGTGAATGATCAAATATTTAAACTCATATTTAAATTAAGCACCTGTGTATAAGGCGCACCCCTATTTTGGGGAGGAAAAAACGAAAACCCACGCGGGGAAGGACCTTCATTTAACATCGAGGTGCAGTTAAAGGCACTGATTTGTGTTTGTAAACTTGTCACAAATAATAGTAACAATGTTGTTTTTAGAAGAATGTGTAATATCATTAATGTAAATTAAAAACAATAGAGTACCTAGGTCCTGGGATAGAACCTTGTGGTACACCATTTGTTATATAAAAAAAATTGAGGAATTATTATTATAAACTACATATTGAGATCTATTAGAAAGATTACTTTCAAACCAAGATGACAGACAAATTTTAGTGTTGTTGTAGTTTCCCAGTGGTGAGTCAACGCACTGATTACTGAGCTGGGAGACATTGCCAGGCATAGCGCCATAAATCGAAACTAAAAAAAAAATATATAATTTTTTTTTTTTAAATTTAAAAAATTAAAAAAAACCTGTGTATAAGGCGCACCCCCGACTTTCAATTTTTTCGGCGGCAAAAAAAGTGCGCCTTATACACGGAGATTTACGGTATTGCAAATCATATGACTACGTCACTACGGTGCTATAAAATCTGTATGGTTGGATGGTCCACTGTTGTAATCATCAAAATTGGAATCAACATATCCTTTCTTCAATTTTAAATGAAGAAAAGCAAGTAATGGCTTTCTGAGAGGTCGAGTAGTTTTGTGAAGGTTGTATATTTTTAGCATTGATCAATAATGAAATGAAGAATATCCCATGAGAGTTGCCTACAACATCCTCATTCAATCTTCATACACCATGGATAGCTAGTATGAACAGATTCTTATCTGTAGCACCAACATGTTCATTCGATCTTCATACACCATGGATAATAGCTAGTATGAACAAGGTCTCATCTGTAGCAGCAAGATCCTGATTTAATCTTCACTGATACAATGTACACCCTGAATCAGGGGTTAACCCCCCCCCCCTTGATTTTTTTTTTTAATGTGTATGTTTTGGGGGAAACCCCCCCCCCCCTTTTTTTTTTAGTTTTTGTTAATTTTTTTTTTTAAATCCTTAAAGGGGAAGTCCACCCTGAAATTAAGTTAGTTTTAATAGGAGTAGAAAAATGAGAGAAACAAGTCAGTGAAAGTTTGAGCAAATTCCGATTAAAAATAAGGAAGTTAGGATTTTTGAAGCTGTGATCAATCAAACACAAATTGGGAACTCTATGACGTATCATGCGAGCTCAACTACCATTTGCTCAGTACTAAAAAAATCTAAAATTTTCATTTTCCCTCAAGAAAAATTTCAACCATACATGCACCCTAAATATAATAATTGCAAATATGTTTCTATACTCCCCCTGCAAGGAACAAATATATATTCCGTCATCAATAACCAAGAAAACATGATTTTATGGAATATTATGCACAAAGCAAATGAAGGAGAGCTCGTATAATAAGTCACAGAGTTGCCAATTTGTATTTGATTGATCACAATTTAAATAATTCATAACTTTCTTATTTTCATTCAGAATTGCTCAAACTTTCACTCACCTGATTTTCTTATTATTCTGCCTCTATCGAAACAAACTGATTTTGGGGGTGGACTTTCCCTTTAAAACCCCCCCCCCCCCCCCTTGAAAAAATCCTGCATTCGCCACTGCCCTGAATAAGATAGCTAGTATGAACAGAGTCTCATCTGCGAGCAGCAACATCCTCATTCAATCTTTGTAAACCATTGATAAGGTAGCAAGTATGAACAGGGTCTCATCAGCAAGCAGGAACAACATCATTTAATCTTCATACACCATGGATAAGGTACAGTGTAGCTAGTTTGAACAGCGTTTCAACTGCAAGCAACACAAAAAGGGTTGTCTAGACATAGTGGATGTATCCTACAAATGTCATAGGGTCATGAGAGGTTTTAAGGGTTAGATTTTTACCAAGTTAGGAGATACATATATGTAGTGTAAGTCCATCCTTTAAAATGATAATGCACAGTGCAGACATTAATTTCTAGTGATTGTATTAAAGGTACTATGTCCCTTTTGCAGCCAACCTCAAATGCTGTAGAACTTTGCAGGAAATATGAATATATCATGTATGTCCTATCTGTGAAATTTAAACGTTAGCAGTGTCCTCATGTTCAAATTATGCAAGGAAACCTGTTTACTTGCTAGACTTCACTGTCAGACACTATTGAGTGACTGACTGGCTTTTTTCTTCTTTGTCAATAACATACATGAAAAGAGTTGTAAAGGGTACATGAGCATTTGTCTACATCAATAACCCACTTCTTGTGATGGCCAAGATTAAACTGATTGGATCTTTGCGCAGCATAAAACATATGACCATTCGGTACAATTGTCTGAAAATCAAGACTATTACTTTTGGGCTCTATAGCCCTAAAGTCGGTTTGACAACTAATACCGTATTTGCCGGCGATAAGGCCGCATCCCCGGAAACTACAACAACTACAACTACAACTTGTAATTCAGAGCATTCTGGATCAAAAGACTGTTAAAGATGCCACTAAAAAGTAAAATGTGAGACTATAGTACTGAGTAGACTACTAGATGTAATTTGACTTCACGTCCTTACCATTGCAAGCAGTGCTATCATCGTTTAATGCAGTCACACGGGCTACAGGTGTAAGAGCCATCTGTGTTCGAACACATTCCATTTGCACAGAGCGTTGCATCCACCATGCATTCGTCAATATCTAGGAAAAGTAAACATTTTTATGCCTCCGCCACCGAAGGTGGTGCCGGAGGCATCATGTTTTCGGGTTGTCCGTCCGTACGTCCGTCCGTCCGTCCGTCCGTACGTCCGTCCGTCCGTACGTCCGTCCGTACGTCCGTCCCGTTTGACCGTTATCACAATATCTCAAGAACCATTTAAGATTTAAACTTAAGACTCGGGAATAGTATTTATCACCATAGGAAGACGATCTGATTAGATTTTGGAGTACGTAGGTCAAAGGTCACAGGTCACAGAGGTCAACTTATGAAATTCCTTGTATTGAGTTTGTTAGCGCGATATCTCAAGAACCATTTGAGATTTAAACTTCAAACTTAAGGATAGTATGTATCACCATAGGAAGACGATCTGATTAGATTTTGGAGCACGTATGTC